TGGGGGTTTGCTCCAATGTCTCCCTGTTCTGTGTCGCTCTGTAGACCCCAGGATGGCAGCAAACCCGCAGAGACCAGCCAGCCGCAGTCGAGTACGACGGGCTACAGCCAGCCCAGCCTGGGCTACGGACAGAGCAACTACAGCTACCCGCAGGTGCCTGCCAGCTACCCCATGCAGCCGGTCGCTGCGCCTCCCTCCTATCCGCCTACCAGGTAACTCTCCCAGACGCTCAGCCCCCGTGCAGCTGCCCTGGGGACGGACAGGTTAGCTTGGGCAGAGGGGCTTTTCCCAAGGGATTTGAGAGGGACGGGTGGGGAAGGAGGTTTGGTGTCCTGGAGGGTGGGCGGTGTGGTTCTTGTCAGGGTGCTGCTTGTCGTAGGAAAGATGAGGCTGTGGTGGAGCGTGTGTCTCTGCGTACACGCCTGCGGTAGCAAGGTGAAACGGTGACAGATGTTTTTGAGAGGTTTCCTAGATAGGGAGTGTGTTACGGTGACCTTCCGCTGCCTCCTTACACGTGGCTTTGACCAGGGGCTCACCTCTTCCCCTCCGGTGTCTTTATGCCGACTTCCAAGTGTATGTGTTGAAATTCTCAAAGCCCGAGATGCGTGAGGGGGGACTGTTTTCCTACCCATCAGCTGAAAAGGCAGAAAGGGAGACTGTGACTCGTATTGCCACCATATTTTGCCCTGCCTCTTTCTAGAGGTATGAATAAACTGCAGCCGGTCACGTGGATTTTCCTTCAGCAGTCTGCCGGGTTTATTTTGTCTCCTGCCACCGGCCTAGCCTCCGCAGGGCGACTTGACCTTTTTAAATGGTTTACAACACTACACGTGGCTTATAATTGCCTTACCCTCTAGCGTGAGCCACTTCTGCAGCCCAGGGCACGTCGCCAGGGAATTGGCTCCTCTTTCCATCTTCTCAACGCTTCTGTCTTGCAGCTACCCCTCCACACAGCCGAGCAGTTACGATCAGAGCACTTACTCCCAGCAGAGCACCTATGGGCAGCACAGCACCTACGGACAACAGACCAGCTACGGCCAGCAAAGCAGCTACGGCCAGCAGCCGCCGCCCACCAGTTACCCGCCCCAGACGGGATCCTACAGCCAGGCCCCGAGCCAGTACAGCCAGCAGAGCAGCAGCTACGGCCAGCAGAGTGAGCGTGCTGAGCAGGGCTGCGTGGTCGTGGGGGAAAGGGTCGGTCTGCCTTGCCCTTGTGGGCTGGGCCGTCTCTGAAAGAGGCTTGGCGCTCCTTTGGGTCTCAAGCTCTCTAAAGGGAGATGATCCTGTAGCTGAGTTTTGCCCTTTCTTGCTAAAAAAAAAAAACCCAGCAGAGCAGCAGCTACGGCCAGCAGAGTGAGCGTGCTGAGCAGGGCTGCGTGGTCGTGGGGGAAAGGGTCGGTCTGCCTTGCCCTTGTGGGCTGGGCCGTCTCTGAAAGAGGCTTGGCGCTCCTTTGGGTCTCAAGCTCTCTAAAGGGAGATGATCCTGTAGCTGAGTTTTGCCCTTTCTTGCTAAAAAAAAAAAAC